GTATTGCTGGATCCGATTTGCTAACATTTTGTTGAGGATGTGAGCATTTGTGTTCATCAAGGATACTGACCTCTAATTTTTTTCTTTGTAGTGTCTTTATCAGATTTTGGAATTAGGATAATGCTGGCATCATATAGAGCACTAGGAAATTTTAGGAATTGAGGAAAATAGGTGTTAGTTCTTTGAATGTTTGGCAAAACTTCACTGTGAAGCCATCTGGTCCAGGACTTCTGTTTGCTGGGAGTTTTTCAATTATTGATTCAATATAATTAGTTGTTATTGGCCTATTGAGGTTTTCTGGTTCTTCCTGATTGAATTTTGGAAGTCTGTATGTTTCCAAAAATTTGTCCATTTCGCCGAGGCTGTCAAAATGATTATCATATAGTTGTCCATATTATTTTCTTACAATCCTTTGTATTTCTGTGGTGTCAGTTGTTATTTCGCCTTTCATTTCTGATTTTATTTAAGTCCTCTCTTGGTTTCTTGATGAATCTGGCTAAAGGTTCATCAACCTTGTTTATTTTTTCAAAGAATCAGCTCTAGGTTTCGTTGATCTTTTATTTGTTTGTCTCTATGTCCTTTATTTCTGCTGTAATCTTTATTATTTCCTTCCTTCTACTTCTCTAGGCTTTTCTTGTCCTACTTCTAGTTCTTTGAGCTGTAGGGATTAGATCATTTATTTGAGTTTTTTTCTGGTTACTTGCAGTAGGCCTGTAATGCTATGAACTTCCTTCTCAGGACTGCTTTCACTGTGTTCCATAGATTTGGGGTTGTTGTTTGTTCATTTTCACTTGTTTCCAGGAATGTTTAAATTTCTTCCTTGATCTCATTGGTAACCCATTCATTGTTCACTAACATGCTATTTAGACTCCATGTGTTTGAATGTTTTTGAATGTTTTTGAATGTTTTTAGTGTAGTTGATTTCAAATACCATGCCATTGTCATCTGAGACAATGCTTGATATGAATTCGATCTTCTTGAACTTGTAGAGACTTAGTTTGTGTCTTAATATGTGATCTATCTTTGATAATGACCCCTGTGCACTTCAGAAGAATGTATATTCAGCAGCTTTTGGATCATGTGTTCAGTAAATGTCAATTAAGTCCATCTGATCTAGTATGCCGCTTAAGGTCACTGTTTTCCTTGTTGATTTTTTTTGTCTGGAAGGTATATCCAGTACTCTCAATGGGGTGTTAAAGTCCCCTAGTATGAATGGATTGCTATCAATCTCTCCATTGAAGTCCTCCAAGAGTTTTTAAAAAATATATATTTAGGTGCTCCTATATTGGGTGCATATATGTTTATCATGGTTATATCCTCTTTGTTCAGTTGATTCCTTTAGTATTATGTAGTAACCTTCTTTGTCTCTTGTTATGGCCTTCGTTTTGAAGTCTATTTTGTCAGATATAAGTATTGCTACCCCCACTGTATTTTCTTTTCCATTTATATGGACATTTTTTTCCATCCCTTCACTTTCATCCTCTGTTAGTCTTTTGTTCTGAGGTGGGTCTCTTGTAGATAGCATATGTATGGGTCATGTCTTCTTATCCATTCAGCTACCCTAAGTTTTTTTATTGGAACATTTAATCCATTTACATTTAAGGTTATTATTGATAGTTACTTAATTATTGACATTTTTACTCTTTATGCCTATATTCATTTCTTCTTATAACAGCAGTCCTTTTAACATTTCTTTTAATGTTGGTTTGGTGGTGATAAACTTATTTAGCCTTTTATTGTCTGAAAAGCTCTTTATTTCACCTTCCATTTTAAATATTAGCCTTGCTAGATAGAGTAGTCTTAGATCAAATTCTTGCTTTTCATTACTTTGAACACTTCATGTCACTCCCTTCTGATCTGTAGTTTTTGTTGATAAATCAGCTGACAGCTTTATGGGAGCCCCCTTGTAGTAAACTGACTCTCTCTCTCTCTCTCTCTCTCTCTCTCTCTCTCTCTCTCTCTGCTCTTAAGATTCTCTCTTGGTCTTTAAAGTTTGCCATTTTAATTATGATATGTCTTAGTGTGGGTCTCTCTGGGTTCATCTTCACAGGGACACTCTGTACTTCCTGAAGTTGTGTGACTTTTTCCTTCACCAGATTAGAGAAGTTTTCTGTCCTCGTTTCTTCAAACAGGTTCTCTATTGCTTACTTTCTCTCCCTCTAGTACCCATATGAAGTGTACATTTTCCATTTTATGTTGTCCCAAAGTTCCTTTAAACTCTCCTCATGATTTTTAAGTGTTTTGTATTTTTGCTGCTCTGAATGAGTGATTTTTTTTCCTACCTTATCTTCCAATTCCCTGATTCAGTCCTCAGCTTCTTCTAACTTACTGTTAATTCCTTCCAGTGTATTCTTTATTTCAGCTGTGTTATTCTTCATTTCCAACTGGTTGTTTTTTATGGTTTCTAATATGTCCTTTTTCATGCTATTGAACATTCTAAAAACCATTACTTTATACTTTTCTGATATGCTTGCCTCCATTTTATTTAGCTCTTTTTCTGAAGATTCCTCCTATTCTTTCATTTGGAGCCTATTTCTTTGTTACCCCATTTTTGCTGTTCTTTGTGTTGGATAAGACTGCTATGCCTCTCAATCTTGATGAAGTGCCCTTCTTGTGGGACACAGTGATGTAGTCTCCTTGATATTCTGAGCTGGGTGCTCTAGGAATGTACCTTATGTGGGTTATATGGGCCCTCCTGTTGCTTTTGGGTCTTGAATGCTTTTGTCACATTCGTGGGTCAGACTCGCTGACTATGAGGCTCAATCCTAACCATATTGTGACAGCCATTATACAGACACTGACAGAACAAAATAAGCCTGAACCAAAAACAACATACATACCCAACAACAACAAGATTGACTTAAAAAGAAAAGAAATACTAAAAGACACAAAACCCAAAGAACTAAAGGGGGGAAAAGAATTTAAAAAGAAAATATGGAAGAAAAGGAAGAGAAAAGAACCCTGGATCTGCTGTTTGTGGAGTTTGCTGGATTTTGCTCTGCTGTTGTTGAATATGGCCCCTTGGTGTGTATGTGGCAGGCTTCCTGGGCAGTTCTCCGGTGCAGGTCAATATGAGTCACTGTTCCTGCTGGGCCCTGGAAAACCTGACTGAAGCATGGCAGGGCGGAGCCCCAAGCAGTCCAGCGGGTGAGGCCTCCATAGCACAGATGCTAGGTCTATTTTGGGTCTTTTCCCTTGAAAATCCCTGTTCTAAGCTGCTCTCCTATGAAGTTAAACTCCGCAGGGCAATCCTGGTCTTGGCCAGGGTGGTTGGAACAGACAGCAATTGGAGATGGTTCCTGTAGCTTGCAGCGGAAGAAGGGGTTGCAGCAGAAGAGGGGGTTACAGGCACTTCCTACCCACCTACTTTCCCTGGCCACCTCAAACAGGAGGAGATTTTTTTAAAAAGCCTGGTTAGTACTGCAATCTCTCAGCACAGTTGGCCCTAGCTGGTTAGGCCTCTGCCCAGAGTCTGACCAGATGAAAAGTCCAAGTGCCCTGTGCTACCAGATCAGCTGCAGAGGTGCAGATTTCCAGCCCAGAGCCATTCCTCCATGCCCCAGGTCGCTGCGGGGCAGAGCAGAACCAGATGTTCCACAGGTTGGGGAAGGGGTCCTCCCCCATGCTTGAGGCAGGCAGGACAATCCTCTTTCCCTGGCCCCACTGTCCAGTCGTGCTCAGCTCTCCCACAGAGGTTTCTCCAGTGAATAAAGGGTCCCTCAGATGTGGCTGGTCTGCCTCTCAGGCCTCCTTCACTGGCCCTGAGCTCTGCTGTGTGGCCTTTTCCACAGATACAGATCAGGGCTAACTTCCTTGGTGGTGAGATGCCAGGGGGCTGGTGCTGCTCCTTCCAACAAGTCTCAGGCTCAGACTCCGTGGCTGCTACACTCCCAACGTGGCCTCTGCAGTCATGCTGCCCCAGCCACCTCTCTGCCTCTGCTCTCAATGCTCCCCAGTCCACAATGCCAGCAGTGCCCAGGACAGGGAGGTGACAGCCCCTGCCCCATAAACACTGCAGGCCCTGGCCCAGCCCAGCACCAAGCAAGGGCAGTGGCAAGGCTGAACACAGAGTTGTGTCCACTTCCACCAGCCTCCTCACGAAGAGGATTCTGCAAATACCCCAAACAGTGCGTGCTTCAAACCTGCCAAGTGAGAAGCCCCTGGTGGGGTGGCTAATGGAGCCACCACCCTGCACTCCTGCACAGACAGACAGACACTCACACACCAGTGCACACAGTCACTTTCACACGGTTCCGCTGCCGTGTTCTCATCAAGCTGCCCATTCTCCAAGCTTCCAATGACTTTGGATCATACCACTCCGAGGCCAGTAGAAATAATTTAGATGAAACTTGTTTGTATAAAGGCCTTTCTTGGTAGTGCAATCTGAACGGGTGGAGTATTTTTTATGATTTCCTTTTCAAAACATCCCCTTGGCTGCATTCTCTGCCAGGAAGTGAGCACCATGATGGAAGGTCAGTGCTGCAAGTTCAGACACTGAGGTTCCGCCAGGCATAGTGCCCTTTCTTTGTCCTGGAAAAGTGATTCCTCATTGCCCTGTATTCCTCATTCAGCCCCAATGATGCTGCTAGTTCTACCAAACCGTTTCCACAAATGCTTCAAATGACCTTCCACAACCTTCCACTTCTGTCCAGCTGAGTTCCAAGTCCCTGCCTGGTTATCCTGACTCTGTGGGGTACCCTGCCCACTCTGCAAGGGCCTCCACCCATTCCTTATAATGCTGCTTCTATCAGACAGCACAACAGTGGTCTTCCTACAGGCCTGCCTCTCCCTCGGACCATGCATGCCGTGTCTAGTCTTGGCTGAACTGAGCATTCAGAATGTGCAAAGCACTTGGAAGAGGGATCTACAGGCAGACACAAGGAAGCTGCCATATCTGCCCTCCAAACAAATTGAACATTTCACAGAGCATTTTGAAAGGTTACAGAAATTACACGATTTTCCAATTATCCAAATATCCCAATGATTTTGCTTTTTTACAGACTTGAGTCAGCTGGTTACCCTAGAACTGGAAGGAAATCATCTCAGTGAAAGCAACGTCAACCCTTTAGCATTCAAACCCCTGAAGAGCCTGTCCTACCTGCGCCTAGGAAGGAATTTGTTTAGGATCATACCACAGGGTCTTCCTGCTTCCACTGAGGTACCAATATCTTTTTTTCTAATGTTTCATATTTTAAATACAGTATGCTACAAAAAAACCCAAACAATATATTTTAAGAGATTATTGTGATGCATATTAAACTTGGTTGTTTTGACATAGAACTTACTATAATTTGAACACTGTTTTCTCTTCATATTATATAAAATTATGAATCAAAGTTATAATTGTGAGTGGAGACCCTTTAAAAGTAATACATGGTCCTGCTGACAGCGCGTCAGGAGAAACCAGGAAAATGAACTGAGAATTTAGTTTTTTTTTTAAATTAATTAATTTATTTTTATTAAATCCTCACCTGAGGACATTTTTTCCATTTATCTTTAGATACATTGGGGGGGGGGGGGTAAACATCAATGTGAGAGAGGCACATCGATTGGTTCCCTCTCGTATGACCCAGACCAGAGCCGGGGATGAACTGCAACCAAGGTACGCGCCCTTGGCTGGAATCAAACCTACAACTCTTTGGTCCATGGGCTGACACTCTAACTGCTGAGCCAAACTGGCCAGGGCTGAACTGAGAATTTAAACAGGAATGACAACTTGCCCAAAGTACCCTGCCTTCATAGTTTTAACGTTCCCAGGCAGGAAGGGGGATGGTCATCCCAGTCTGCTCCACCCACAGTCCCACATGATCTAGGAGTGAGCCTGCATAGATGGATACAATCTACAGAGAAGGCTGCCCACTATGCTAGCTGCCCCCTAACTTACCAGTTCTGACCAGTTTCCACCAAGGCCCAAGTACTGTCCTGGTTCCACTGCCTGTGGAGATGCCCCTGCTGCTGAGGTGTGTGGCCTCCTTTGCTGTGGCAAGGAACACACTTAACTAAGGGGGGGCTCCTGTGACCTTTGCTATTGGATGCACACCCCAACTTCCTGGCAGACCCCAATGAACCCAGGCCACCTTCTCTGCTCCATTCCCACCATGCACACACTCCCCAGCAGAAGGAAGGACGAAGTTCACTTCAGCTGAGGGGTCATCAGTTCCACCTGACGGGGCCGCTCCAGCCACTACCACCTTCTCTGCTCCATTCTCACCACGCATGCCTTCGCCCAGCAGAAGGAAGGACGCAGTTCACCCCAGCAAAGCAGCCACCGGTCTTCACCTGATGGGGCCACCCCAGCCACCACCCTTCCTCTTATTCCTGTTTGCACTTTAAGATCTAACACAAGGAAGTATCAGAATAGCAAAGATCAAGGTTCCAACCGGCCTTTACTTCACAGACACTTGGATTCTAAAGAAACACAGACTCCTGGACTTTCTACAGACATGCTGACTCAGGTTCTCTGTAGGGTGGAGTCAATCATTTGTAACTTTTTTAAAAAGTAAAAATTTCGGACTTCTGGTCAAAATGGCGGCGTAGGTAAACGTGGTATCACATCCCCCCACAACCACATCAAAGTTACAACTACACTACAGAACATCATTCAAAACCACCTGAAATCAAGCTGAATGGAAGCCCTACAACTACGAAATTAAAGCAGCAGCCACATTGAGACTGGTAGGAGGGGTGGAGGCTGACGGGCTGGTCCCACACCCATGTGTGGCGGATAAAAATCAAGAGGACACCTCGGCTGGGAAGGTCCTCCCTGAGGACTGAGTGGTCCCCGTCCCACACCAGATGCCCTGCTCAGGGTTCCATTGCCAGAAAGAGAAGTCCCTATAACTTCTGGCTGGAAAAACCAGCGGGAACTGAGCCCCAGGCCACTCCTCTTAAAGGGCTCACGCAGGACTTATCGGACTCACTCCCTCTAAACTTGGAGGGGAGGCAGCTCGAGGGGCACCAGAGACATACAGAAAAGAACTGAGCTGTTTGGCACTGGAGCAAGGGCAGGAGAGGGGGCTTTCTCCAGGACAAATGTGCTGTCAGAGGCCTTTGTTCCTTTGGTGAGCCCTTCCCTGGGGCTGCAGACATCCGCCATATCTGGGACTCCAGCAACCTGGCTCACACTTTTTGCCCCACCCTGGTGACTCCCTGAGGCCCCGCCCCACCTAACTTCCAGGCCAACCCAAGCTGTTGCCAGTTGCTTAACCATAGGATTGGCCTATCTTGGATCCTGCTTCAGGTTTTCCTAAATTCTTTCAAACAAGCAGCATCTGGTCTCAGATAGCCCCATACTTCTTGTTAAGTAAAACACAGAAACAAACACAGGAAGGTAGCCAAAATGAGGAGACAAAGAAACAGGTCCCAAGTGAAAAAACAGAAACCCCCAAGAAAAGAACTAAGCGAAATGGAGATATGCAACCTAACAGATGCTGAGTTCAAAATACTGCTTATAAGGATGTTCAATGAACTTAGTGAGAACCTCAGTGAACTTAGTGAGGGCCTCAAGAGCATAAAAAAGGACCAGTCAGAAATGAAGGAGGCATTAACTGAAATAAAGAATAATTTACACAGATTCAATAGTAGAGTACGTAAATCCAAGAAGCAAACCATCGATTTGGAATATAAGGAAGCAAAAAAAAGCCCAATCAGAACAGCAAAAAGAAAAAAAGGAATCCAAAACAATGAGGATAGTGTAAGGAGCCTCTGGGACAACTTCAAGTGTGCCAACATTCGCATCTTGGGGGTGCCAGAAGGAGAAGGGAGAGAGAACAAGAAATTGAAAACCTGTTTGAAACAATAATGGCAGAAAACTTTCCTAACTTGGTGAAGAAAACAGACATACAAGTCCAGGAAGCACAGAGAGTCCCAAACAAGATGAACCCCAAGAGGCCCACACAAAGACACATCATCATCAAAATGCAAAAGGTTCAAGACAAAGAGAGAATCTTAAAGCAGCAAGAGAAAGGCAGCTAGTTACCTTCAAGGGAGTTCCCATAAGGCTGTCAACTGATTTCTCAAAAGAAACTTTGCAGGCCAGAAGGGAGTGGCAAGAAATATTCAGAGTGATGAAAAGCAAGAACCTACAACCAAGATTACTCTATCCTGCAAAGCTGTCATTTAGAATCGATGGCCATATAAAGAGTTTCCCAGACAAGAAAAAGTTAAACGAGTTCGTCACTACCAAACCGTTATTGTATGAAATGATGAAGGGTCTTTTTGAAGAAAATGTAAAATATATGAACAAATAAAATGGCAATGAATACATATCTATCGACAATTGAATCTACAAACAAAATGAACAGGCAGAACAGAAACATTCTCATAGATACAGAGAACAGTTTGTTGGTTGCCAGATGGTAGGGGGGTTGGGGGAATAGGTGAAAAGGGTGAAGGGATTAAGAAGTACAAATTCATTGCTAGACTGACAAACCTCAAAGGGAAAGGGGTTGGGGGTGGGGTGGGAAGAGATAAACCAAAGAACTTATATGCATAACCAATGGACACAGACAATAGTGTGGGAAAAGGCGAAAGGGGGGTGGGAGTCAATGGGGGAAAAACGAGTAACATCTGTAATACATTCAAGAATAAAGATTTAAAAAAAATTTTTTTTAATTTCAATACATAATGATGTATACAGTGACACCCACACCCACACACACACAGAGGCATGTGCGCACACACCTTGAAAAACAAGAGTAACGTGCCTCCATCCCACACCTGACTCGCCCACCTTCGCCTCTCCTCCCGAGAAGGACATCTCTCACTAACCCAGGAGGTGTGCCCCTCACAGGAGCCTGTGCTCTGAGTCCCTCCCAGGCCTGTTTCAGAGCTACACAGTTCAATGTGTGGATGGCTGTGCTTTGACAGGGGTGTATTTTACACTTTGAAAAGCTCACAAGTGATTGTACTATAAAAACTTTGGGAACCACTGATCTAGTTTACTCCCAAATACATTTGAAGGTAAAAACAAAAGGTTAAACATCTCTTTACCCACTTCTAATAAATACAAATGGAGTGACAAAGAGGGGACATTACTGCAAAAGAAACAGAAAGCAACACTGGAGACACACACCAATTCGACTTCTGAATTCCAACAAGAGCCCCATGGAGAGAAAGCCTCTCTAATGCCAAGTGAACTAGGTCTGAAGACAGCCATCTGCTGAAAACAAAATTCCAATCACTTCACCCTGACGTTGAATGAAAGCTCTTAATTAACCCTCATTAAATTAACTTCAACACAAGAGCAAGTCCAAAAACACGAGCCTAGAAACACCACGGACATAGGACCTGGGGCCAAGCGGGAGTTGTTCCTGGCACACTGGCCCTGTGGCCCTGGGTGCGGCTCCTCTTGGTCTCAGGCCTGAGTCTTCCCACTGCTGAAAGGGGGTTATAATTTCTACCTATTTTCTAGGGTTTTGAAGTCAAATGGAATAATTTACGTGAAAAAGTTTTGTAATTTACGAAAGCTATATCCACTTATTACGGCATGCTGTATCTTGGTAACATTTTATGGTTGAAAATAAATAAAATGACAGATAACACTTTTTTTTCTAACTAGAAAATTTGACAGCTTAAAAAATGAATTGAGTTGGAGAAGCAGTACGACTCTTTAGATAATACTATTGAAAATTGTCTACAATACCATTTTAATCTCTGTAAAATTAAACATATTTATTAACTAGCAAGAAGAAAAATAAACCTTTCCCCTTAATTATAGGAATTGTACCTGGAAAATAACCAAATTGAAGAAATAACAGAAATTTGTTTCAATCACACCAGAAATATCAATGTTATTGTACTGTGTTATAATAAAATAGAAGAAAACAGGATTGCTCCTTTGGCCTGGATAAACCAAGAGTAAGTATGTGCTGTGACCAGACTTGTCAGACGTTTCCTTCCTCTGCCATTATTAAAGGGGCAGACACATGGAGACATGAGAGAGGTGGCAGCACCCTTTCTCAGGGAGCCCCCAGTCCCCAAACTCAGCCACCTTCAATGAGCCCACAACGCTGATGTGACTGGTGTCAGGACAGCCCCAGAAGGGCGGCAACACAGCCCAGCCTGAGCAGTGCAGCTCGATGTTGGACCAGAACCACACCCTCCTGCTGTAGACCCCACAGGGTGGCCTTGAAGTTTAAGTGGCCTTGGTTTCCCCTGCACAGAGTGAGGAAGAAACCTGCCCTCCTCTGCCTCCCACCTTAGATAAAAGCACAAGGCTTCACTGTCCTACACCACACTGTCTTCATTCCTCCAAACTACTTCTCTACCTCATCTTACAACACAGACTGGAGAATGCTTGGCCTGGTGGCCTAAACAAAAGCAGAGCTGTCTTCCCAGGAGAGAAGCATGTGGACCCAGACTGCAGCCCTGGCTGACGGGCCAGCGTGGAGGCTTTGCCAATAGGAGGGGAGGGGGAAGAAGCCATGTGGGAGAGCCGGGCTGAGCCCTGTTAGCACTCCAATGTGTGGCGAGGGAACAGGGGGTCTGACTGGCACAGCCCGGGGAAAGTTCTTTCAAAAGCAGGGTGGAAAGAAAGAAAAGAGGCGTGAGGACCAGCTGGGTTAGCAGCAGGTGAGGGTGGCAGGTGACCGAGTCTTCACCAGGCGCACAGTCTTGTTTTTTGTTGTTAATCCTCACAAAGGATATTTTTCCATTGATTTTTAGATACAGTAGAAGGGGCGGGGAGAGAAACTTCAATGTGAGAGACACAGCGATTGGTTGCCTCCTGCATGACCCTGACTGGGGCTGGGGATTGAACCTGCAACCATTTGGTCCGCAGGCCGACTCTCTAACTGCTGAACCAAACTGGACAGGGTGAATAACCTTTTCTAGATCCCGGTCTCACGCCACAGCCCAGGTGCAGGTGATCAGATTGAATGTGTAATGAGAACACATTGCCACTTCCATGCTGGAACCATTGCCGATTTCAGGGAGATTTTAGGGCAATTTGATGTCAGCTAGAACTCCTGGGTTTCACTTCTGATTCAAGATGGACCTCAGAGATATTCGGGGACCTCACCAGGTGCTCCTCTGATGGAACCCGAGCCTCTGTGTGGTGCCAGGTAAGAGTGTGCCCCGATGCTAGGCCACCACCACACAGCCACTGCTGCACTGGGTATTATCACTGCACTGAGTTCTGGAAGGAGAATCAACAAGCATCCTGACTGGCCTTGTGAAAACCTAGAGCTCAGTTACTGCCCTGATATCCACCTGTCTATTCTTTCCTTTGCTGCAGGAATCTGGAGTCCATCGACCTTTCCTACAACAAGCTCTACCAGGTACCCTCCTACCTCCCCAGGTCACTGCTGCACCTTGTGCTCCTGGGGAACAGGATCGAGCGCATCCCTGGCTATGTGTTCGGCCACATGAAGCCAGGCCTTGAATACCTGTACCTGTCATTTAACAAACTCTCTGATGACGGCGTGGACCGAGTGTCCTTCTATGGGGTGTACCATTCTCTGAGAGAGCTGTTTCTGGACCACAATGACTTCAAGTCTATACCACCAGGGGTACAAGAAATGAAGGCTCTACATTTTCTGAGGTTGAACAACAATAAGATACGGTAAAGTTTGGCTTTTCACGTATCCATTTAAATTATCGCAACGGACAAAACACATGATTAGACTGCCACGACATGATGTCTGGGACTTACTTTACAGAAAAAAGTGATGGGAGTCACATGACAAGATTGGTAGGTATTAGTAACCATTGAAGCCAGAAGATAAACAGGCACATAAGAATTCACTATATGTTTTCTACTTTTGTATATATTTGCAAACTTCCATAGTGAACTTTTTCAAAAATATGTTATTATATAATACTTAGAACCTTAAAGAAAGGTTGAAACAAGGCATCAAGGCATTAGATTATGGTGCTGCTCCCACTTTCACATATAATTATAAATACTCTAACCTGCAGAACACAAAATCTAAATATATGTTAAACTTAAAATTACTCCTATCAAGATTCTCCTGAAGGCAAAATCCTGAGCACATTCATGGAGACGCAGCTTCCCTTACTTCTGGACACACTTTCCTGCATAATCCACCTGCCCAGAAAGCATGGGTGTCAGGTGTTGTCAGTGTGTTAACGACAGAGGCAGATTGCTGAGCTCTGGGCCTTCTCTTGAAGATTACACCCTTCCTCTTTTCCCTAGCTCTAAGATGCCAAACACATTTAAATTCCCCCCAAAACAGGACAGGGAACGGGTCAAGAGTTTCTAAAAGCCCTTGTGGAAGAGGTAGAGGGTTGGGGGAGACTTTGTAAGATTTGGTTTCAAAATATTGCCCAGGGCATGCTGTGTGTATGCTTGCTGCTAGATTGCAAGGGGGGGCACACATGAGTTTGTCCCACTTCTGGAGGGAAGAAGGCGGTCACAGCTTCACATTCCATTATAACCTTTCTCTTCCATCACGAGACACCAGTTTCACTCAGAGAACTGCTGCTTCAGTCTGTTATTTTCTTAGGGGTAACAAAGTGGTAAATTTCTATCTTTGTCAGTCTTTCCATATTTGCTAGCTGGAATTCCTCTGTAAATAATTTTTTCTTATCAAGTAGGGCTACTTTGTAACTATGAAAAGTAGGACAAATGATCAGCTCTTTCCTCTAAGCTGCCAGAGTAAAAAGCTGGTTATAAATCTGGAAGTACGAGAAGCGATGGATGTAAACTGAACCTGGCAATCAGTTCCCAGTATTTACATACATCAAATCATCATGTTATACATCTTAAAATAATACAATATTATATGCCAATTACACTGTAATAAAACTGGAAAAGTTATATATATGCATTATATATAAATAAAAATACTATAAAATGTGTTAAAATATTAATAGTAGTTGTCTTGGGGAAAAAGTAATTGGTGATTGAGTGTTTTTGCTTTACTATTTTGTTTTTGGCTTTCTCTCTCTCCCTCTCTCTGGAGAATCAGTAAGAACTTATGGTTTACACATCCAAAATGTTTCAATCAATTGCAATCATTGCTCTTAAACTGTCCTGTCTTTGGCCAATGGTCCCCTGCTCCCAGGGTATAACTGTCCTTTCTACATTTGAATACATCAATGTGTTCATTTTTTTCATTTTTAGATCTTTGACATATTTTGAGCATTTTCTGGTATACAATAAAAAAATAAGATCTAATTTTATTTAATAACAAAATAATTTTTTAAATTAATACAAACTTAACTCCTAAATTATGAAGGCAGGCTGTTACTTGGACTATGCTGACTTTCGCGTCTATTTTCCCTTAGGAATGTCCTTCCAGAACAGATCTGCAATGCTGAGGAAGATGACGACTCAGCCCTTGAACATCTTCATCTCGAGAACAATTACATTAAAACAAGAGAAATATCATCCTATGCATTTTCATGCATAAGATCATATTCAAGTGTCGTTCTTAAACCACAGAATGTCAAGTAATCCTACATTTCTATTGTCAATTATAAACTGTATTGATATGTTTGTCGTAGTAGCATTTATCATCAATAAGAGAGACATCATGTCCTGTGATGCTCAGTATCATTATGCTAGTCTACCTGATTCATTAATCTGGAGATGTACAACCAAAAATACATCTGGAAGGGTTAGTCGTCTAGCACTCTTAGGGAAAGTCTCTGTTTCATGCTAGAAAGAAGCCATCTCGTTACAAAGTTTTTCTCGTGGGAATAGGATGCTATGCACTGCTGAGCCAGACTGAGAGAATCTGGAACAAAATAAGTATGTCCTTTACAATCCACCTGTGACTATTGCTATTAGCTGGGAACACCTTAAGTCCATTTACAAATTACGTATGCTAGCTCTGGCTGGTGTAGCTCAGTAGTTACAGAGTCAGGCCGTGTACTAAAGAATCACAAGTTAGATTCCTGGTCAAGGGCATGTACATTGTTTACAGGTTTGATCCCTGGCCCTGGTTGGGCAACGTGCAGGAGGCCACCAATCACTGTCTCTCTCCCCCTCTCCCTTCCACTCTCTAAAAATCAACCGAAAAATATCCTCAGGTGAGGATTAACAAAAAGAAAAGAAAAATTATGTATTCTATAATTCAAGACCAAGAAATAAAAGGCAGGAAAAAATTACATATGGAATTTATGAATGAGTGCTCTGTTTATTATTCTAAAGTTAAAACAATAATATATGAATTATCTTTAAGATCCCATGCTACAGTCCAGGCGGTGTAGCTCAGTGGTTGAGTGTCGACCCATGCACCAAGAGGTCCCGGTTCGATTCCCAGTTAGGACACATGCCCAGATTGTGGGCCCGATCCCCAGTGGGGGGCATGTAGGAGGTGGCCAATCGATGTTCTCCCTCATTGATGTTTTTATCTCTCTCTCCCTCTCACTTCCTCTCTCTGTAAAATCAGTAAAGAAAAAAAAATTAAAAAAAAAAAAGATCCCATGCTACAGTTATTGATATAAATATACTTAATTATTGGGTTAGCTTCAGTTCCTTCTATTAATTACATGTGTGAAATTAAAACACTATTGTAATGTTAATTCCCTGGTTTTGAGAATTGTACTATGGTTATTTATGTAATTATTAATATTAGGGGAAGCTGGGAGAAGGGTACACATGAATTCCATACTATTTTTAAAGTTTTCTGTAAGTCCAAGAAGTGTTACAATGTATTAAGATCACTCTTGTTATTTTATAGAGAGTAGTGGAGCTTGCTTAACATGTAAGTGAAGTATCCTTGACACAATCTCACGGGTATAAACCTAACGCATGAGTTTTGAAAATGTTGGTTCCATTGGTCACTTTTAGTACCTGTCGTCTTTGTCCCAATTTTCTCAAGTGTATGTACCCTTTCACTAAGTTCAAGTTAACATATACTATTAGTATTTACTATATACTGGACACTATCAAAACCATATATTAAAATATTCAATATATAATGATCTTTTGTCTTTATTCCTAAACTAATTTATAATCGGCATATATAGAAACTGTGCCGACTTGTCTCACTACTATCAGTTCTGTGTCTTGGGAAACCTGCCCCCAGACTCAGCACCCTTCTCAAGGCTGTGCTCATCTCTCAAAACAGTTATTGAACCTTTGGTAGCTCTCTCCCCACCCCAGAAACCCTCCAGCCCCACCTCGCAGAGCTGCCATGAGCACCATCGAACGGAAAGCATCTAGGAAATGTGGTATACATGCATGTACTTATTATCACCAACTGTTCATATAACATTGAGAGATTATAACACTGAATGATTATTACAGATAAAACTATTTCAAAAAGCAGTAAAGACACATATAGCCTGGAATCATAAAAAATAATTACACCAGGAATTAGGACACCTGGGTGCCCATCTTGATCTCTGATGATTAATCATGTAGTCACTTTACTGGGATTCACTGAATTCAATTATAAAGTAACATGTTCGGAACAGGTCTGGTTTTTAAGCATGGCTCAGGAGGGCTCATGGAGCCCTGAAAGTCTCCCTTTAGACAAAGCAGCTCTGCTACCACCAGAAAGAGCCAGCTGCTGCTGCTCCCTGTTTCCCTTAAAACAAATGAGAAAGGCACTATCTAAACATGCCAAGTTTTAAGATTCATAAAGAACATGCAACTAAAGTCTTTAGTCCTTCCCTCACCCTCACCCCAACAACCAAGCTGGAGAGCTTAACGTGAGCAAATTCTTCTTGGGTGTGTAGGTTACAGCTGCCTGGAGGCAACCAAACTGTCTGGGCAAGAAATTTTAGTGGTGTGTCTATTCCTTTGGAGCTCCAGCCCCACAGAGTGGGAACAGCCCTGAGCACTTCTGCAACAAAGACCTCTGATCTTTAACTTGAAAGACCCTGAAAGGCAGCCAGCTAAGTGCAAGTTCTGTAGGGTGGCTACAGTGGGAACAGTGCTGCAGGGGCAGACCAGACGCACACACCCTCCATCTCGGTCTGACCTGGTGACTCCCGATGGAGGGGGGTAGACCAGACGCACACACCCTCCATCCTGGTCTGACCTGGTGACTCCCGATGGAGAGGGGCAGACCAGACACACACACCCTCCATCCCGGTCTGACCTGATGACTCCCGATGGAGGGGGCAGACCAGGGCTCTGGCACAAAGATTGCCAAGTGAGTAGAACTTGGAAGCAACAGAAAGAACATGGCTGAGTCTGACCTTAACTGACACCGTATGACTGAAGTCCACAAAGCAGAGAGTCTGGATGCATGAAGATGGGCATTGTACACTTCTGGATTTGGGAGCAGAGGCACCTCGTGTGGCAGGTGATACCAAAATGGGTGAGAAACATCTAAAAACCTCTTTTGGCTTCCACTGTCCAATGGTTCCACCATTACTTTAGAAGTTGGCCACAAAGTCAAAATTAATTACTCCTTAAGATGACTGATTTTTGACTGAAGATCCACGATGGCAATGGAATAAGTGAAGTTCCACCCAGAATGAAACTGGAATTACTACTAAAATACAGAACAATCAACCTGAGCAACCAACTGAAGGCTAGCTGTTGAGGTTTTATAAATGAGAACTTACAGAAGCCATATGAAGACTGGTAGGAAGCACAGAGACGTGAGAAGGAATGGCCCTGCACCCACGTGTGGTGGCTGAGAATCCCGAGGGATATCTTGGCTTCAAAGAATCCCCTTGAGGAGCGAGACTCCACACCAGGCTCCCTAGCCCAGGGCACCAGAGCCAGGAAGAGGCACCCACATAACACCTCACAGCCACTCACACTGGGCTCCTGTGCAGGGAGCAAATTGAATAGTGTGAGGAGAGACTTGGCTGAGTTGCTCCAGGGAGAGAGCTGACGAAATAACCACCAAGGTCCCTGTGCTGAGTCCCTCACCCACACTGCCATGGATGCCGTTTTCTTAGTGGAATACTCCCCCCCACAGGGCATCAGTCTGGGTAATTGCTCTAGCCCCACTTGCCCAATTCCCAGCAGCCCTGCCCTGCTGAGCTAGGGCTTTCAAGGTGGTCGGCCAGAAAGGGGGACAGACTGAGCTGTGTAGCTCTAGAGTAGGGACCACTTTACCCTCAGACACCCAACTGGAGCACAGTCCTCCTTTCATTGGGCCAAATCTTGGTCAGTTTGGGCCTGATAAACTGTCATTATTTGCACATGATATGATAATATATGTAGAGAGCCCTAAAGATTTGACCAAAAAACTACTGTAACTGATTAACAGATTCAGTAAAATAGCAGGATACAAAATAAATATCCAGAAATTGATTGCATTTTTATACATCAATAGTAAACTATCAGAAAAGGAAACTAAGAAAACAATGCCATTTACAATTACATTAAAAAAATACTTAGAAATAAACTTAACAAAGGAGGTAGAAGATCTGTTCTCAGAAAATTATAAGACACTGAAGAAAGAAACTAAAAAAGAAACAAATAACTATCTAAAGCAATGTACAGATTCAATGCAATACATATCAAATTACCAGTGGTATTTTTTTTTTTATGAAAGTAGAGCAAATAATCCAAAAATTAATATGGAACCAGAAGAGACCCCCAAATAGCCACAGCAATCTTGGGGAAAAAAATAAACAAAGTTGAAGGTATTGCGCTAGCCAATATCAAACTATACTCCAAGGCTATAGTAATCAAAACAACATGGTACTGGCATAAAAATGGACACATAGATCAGTGGAACAGAACAGAGATCCCAGAAATAAACCTATGCCTATATGGTCAATTAATATTTGACACTGGAGGCAAGAACATAGAATGGGGCAAAGACAGTCTATTCAATAAATGGTGTTGGGGAAACTGGACAGATACATGCAAAATCAATGAAATTAGACCACCTTCAAACATCATATACAAGAATAAACTCAAAATGGATTTAAGATTTAAATGTAAGACTCAAAACTATAAAACTTGTAGAAGAAAGCGTGGGCATTAGAACCTCTGATATTCTCTTATTAATATGTTTTCCTGATATATTCCTTGGGCAAGAGAAACAACAGAAAAAATATATAAACAAATGGGACTACATCCAACTAAAAAGTTTTTGCACAGCAAAGAAAACCATCAACAAAATGAAACAACCCAATGAATGAGATGATATATTCACCAATGATACATGTGATAAGTGGTTACTATCCAAAATTTATAAAGAACTCATATAACTCAACACCAAAAAACAAACAAGCAAAATCCAATTAAAAATGGGCAAAGGAACCTGAATAAACACTTCTCCAGAAAAAGACTTAGATATGGCCAATAGACATACTTTGTAAAGTATATGATTTTCTAAGCACCATGTCGTAAACATGAAACTAATACAAAGTAATATTAAATATAGACTGTAAATAAAAAAAATTTTAATTAAAAAAAAAAAAGTTTAGCCCTGGCCAGTTTGGCTCAGCGGTTAGAGCGTCAGCCCACAGACCGGAGAGTCCCGGGTTCGGTTCCCGATAAGGGCACGTACCTCAGTTGCAGTTTGTCCCCGGCCCTGGTTGGGGTTGTGTGGGTGGCAACCACTTGATGTGTCTCTCTCACATCGATGTTTCTCTCTCTTTCCCTCCTACTCTATCTGAACAAAAAATGGAA